AAAATAGTGAGGTTTTTTCAATAAATCTCAAATGACTGCAACTATATAAGTTTCTTAGACATGACTCCATATACTATTTGAAGGTAATCATTACCTGAGTTTGGAACTGATGAAACAGAATTAAATCTCATTGTTGGTTTTCAAGTGTAAAAGTGTTTCTGTGTAATAACCAATGTCTTTCATAGAGTCTTATGAATAAATACAATGCTTAAAATTGTGTAGGATTTTAAATTGCAATTTAATTTTCAGAGTAATATTTTAAGGTGTGAAAGGATATAGCAGATACTGTTGACTCAGTTGTTTAATGCAAGACTCATTGCTAAACCTATTATTCTTTGCTGACCTCTGTTAAGGGGTTCTCACCATCAAGATGTTGGCAATAATTTGCTAGGATTTCTGGGAGAGCTTTTGTTGATAGACTCTCAGTCACAAAATTTTCTGCCCTGAGCATGCAAATGATGCTTGATATTTAGAGATCTATTTTGCAACCATAAGGAAAAGTCCAAGAGAATGACTTGTCAATTTGGGATCAGATAAGCAAAGAACATTCCTGATACAAGTATAAATTGTAGTTTAATTATAAAGTAAGAATCAGTAAGCAGTCATCTTTTGAAGTACCGTGTTAGTATCAAGTTGAATTTGTCAATGTGAACATGGAATTTTTAGGAAAATATATTTTTAGCTGCTAATTCCCACGTGAAATATTCCAAAAGAAAATATAATTTCCTAAAATTCAGATTTGGGTTTCCAATAGTTGTTTTCAATAACAAAACTAGAACTTTTTTTCTTTTATTTATTTATTCATGACACACACTCACACACACACACACACACACAGAGGCAGAGGCAGAGGCACAGGCAGAGGGAGAAGCAGGATCCCTGCAAAGGAGCCCAACGTGAGACTTGATCCCGGATCCCAGGATCATGCAAGGGAGACGCTCAACCACTGAGCCTCCCAGGCATCTCAAAACTAGAACTTTTTAAAGAAGAGCTTATCCCATGACACGAGGAAGGAGAAGTTCAAAGAGAGAATGGAGTATCTTATGGCTTAAAAGCAGGGCTGCTGTTTCCTAAGTTTGGCCTGGATGTAAGTAATCAGGAGTTCAGATCTCACTTTTCACTGTTCCACAAATGCCCTGCTTTCTGTTGTATCAACTTCTTTCAAATCTGAGTTCTGGATTTTCACCATTTTGATTCAATTAACAGCCAATCTAACCAGAATTACTACAGAAAAAGGAAGTTTTTAAAAATACATTTATTCCAATGCATCAGGCTCCCAGACTCTCTCATTTGTCCCCAGAACTGGGATTCTCCTAACTGCCAGGCTGAATTGTTTTTCCTAATTGGAGCCATCATAGGAACAATTGTTTTCTTATCTTAATTAGTTTATGTAAAATCCTCAAGAGAGTCTATCTTCTCATTCTAGTTATGATCAGGAAAAGATACACATATACACACAAATGGGAGGGTAGGGAGAAACGCTAGGGAGCATCAGGTCTATATGTATCACTGACTGGTGAAGGAAGTACAGTTTAGATGGAAGACTCAGGGTAGGGACATAGCAGGAGAGCAAGGGAGGTTGATGGCCACATCAGGGCAGGGAAAGATAGAGTCTTCATCTATGTTTGTCTGACTTTGGAAGCCAACAGCAGCGAGGTCAGTGAATTAGCTAATCTGGGGGAATTGAAGATATCTAGAGAAAGAATAATCCACTGCATAAGAATAGATAACCCTAGTGTGCATGCAGACACTGTGAATAACTGTTGAGAAGATTTTGAGCAAGGAGGAATTAGCATGAAAAATATTATAGAGCAAGTTAGTATCAAGGACAAAATTTTAAATATTAAAATTCTCCAGGAAATGGGGTCAAGGCTCAAGTGATTGCTTTAAAACCACAAATGAGCATTGTGATTGGTTTCTGAAATGTTTCAAGAGTCAATGTTTCTGGAATCAAGTGAGATTTACAGTCAGCTGTTCAGCACAAACAGCATTAACATTTGCACTGGATTTACAATTACTAGTTTTAGATAGAGGAGAGTTCAGTGGGGGAAAGTCTAATGGTTTTCCTTTCAGGTTTAGATTTTCCTTATCCCTTTTTTGGCTTGACCATATCTTTTCAGGAGATTAGAGAATTAGGTCTGGGTCTGCTCAGAGGCACCTTCTTGAACTAGTAGCTTGGTTCAATCTGTACAATCCTGCCCTGAGGGCCACAGTTAGAAGATGTGGCGGTGATGACCACTGGGGACATCAAAACTTATGGAAAAGATAGATATGAGATATGCATATGAAAAATCAAAGCACCTAAGGAAAAATATTTTAAAAGGCATAGATAGATATATGATAGATATGATCATTGATAGACATATATGTGTGTGTCTATAATATATATATTTATATATTGTCATATATATATATATATATATATATATATATATATATAGCAAAGGCAGTTTATGATCTCTTATTTCAGTGATTAGGAAAGTGTCTTCCTAGAGGACTTGATACCTTTTTAAAGCTGAGCCATCTTGGAAGAAGAGAATGGTGAGAATGTGAAACTCAATTGGAGGATGGAAGGAGGTCACATGAGCAAACTGATGTTCTACCCAGACAAACTTTGAGGGGATGGAAGCTTGTATGAGATGTAAGACCCCTGGAAACCTGTTACAAAGGTTTAAGCATTATGAGTAGGCATCAAATTTGGGTGACGGCAATGGAAATAAAAAATATTGATGATGGAACAAGAAAAAAGTTAAGCAGAGATTGATGATTAATTGGGTTTGAGAAATGAGGACACAGTGGATATAAAATGAGTGATGCTGGTATCTAGATAAATAAAAATAAGAAATTCAGCAAGGGACAATGGGGGCACACTCAGGTGAGGATGGTGCACTAGCCTGTTGGGGTTTTAGTAACAAAGCATCACAGACTGAGTGGCTCAAGCAATAGGAATTTATTTTCTTACAATTCTGGAAGCTGGAAGTCTGAGATCTATGTTTGGGCAGAGTTGCTTTCTTCTGAGGCCTTTTTCTATGTTTTGTATGAGACCGCCTTCTCCCTGAGTCTTTCTACGGTCCTCCCACTGAAACTGAGTCTACAGTTTCTCTTCTTAGACGATCCCTGGTCATATCAGATTGGGGCCTATGCTACTGTCCTCATTTGATTTAATTATATCCTTAAAGACTCTTTCTCCAAATAGAGTCACATTCTGAGGTACCAGGGGTTAGAACTTCAACATGTGAACTTTGGGAGGACATAGTTCAGCCTGTAACAGGTGGAGTCTGCATGTCAAGGTGAGGCCTCTAAGTGGGAAGGTTCTGAAGAAAATGTGAGGGTTCAGAGAGAGATCCAAAATAAGGAATCCCAGAGTCACATCAGTTAATGAGAGTAGGAAGCCAATAGAAGTTGATCAACAGTTTTGAGTAAATAAGATCTCTGTGTTAAAAAAAAATGGAGTTAGAAATAAAAGAACAAAGATAGAAATTGGGGGGTGTGTGGAAGACAAAATAGCCACTGAGACAAATCAGGATAGTATGGTGTCAAAAGGCATAAAATAAAAGATTTTCAAGAATCAGGTCAATCACCTGATTGACCTTTGGAGGTCAGTGACAATGAGGAGAGATGGAGGCCATTGAGTTTTTAATCAGAAAGCCACTAATACACTTTAAGAAAGGAGACACTTTAAGAATGGAGCATTGAGAGAAGATCATTGATTTAAAGGGATTCAGGAGGGAATGAAGACAGTAAATATATATCCACTTATTAGGGGGAAATGATGTTGGTACAAAGGAGAGGAACTGTCTGTGTAGAGACAGTACTTCCCCCTCAAGATAAGATTTGTGCACATCTGATAGCAGAAGAGAGAATCAAAAAATAAATGAAAGTAAAAAATAAAAAAAGAAGAGAGAATCAGTGAAGAAAATAAAACAAATGATTCTGAAAAGGGAATAAATTAATAAGACCATATCCTGCAATGTGTTGTTTACATCGTGTTCCACAGAGCCTGCAGCTTCTCTCTCCACCCCAGCACCCCCTGCAATCCCACTAGAGCACCTCTCTGCATTTTTGGCTTCACATAGTTACTTTCCATTAGTTATGGCATTTGACCAAAGCCTTCTGGTATAAAACACATTTGAGATCCATTTCCTAGAAAAGGGAGAAGGGAAGGAAATGAAGAAGGTAGTATGGCCTACCTTTAAAAAAAAAAGAAAAGAAAAGAAAAGAAAAATAACATGTAAAAATTGCTATCATTTGTCTCCCCTGAATATTGTCTGAACAATTGTCACATATACATATTATGATTTATACGTATATATGGAGATAGAGAAAGGGGATGTGTTAGAGAAGAAGGGGAAGGAAGGGGGTGAAATTCACCAGTGATGGCTTGTCTTTGCCATCAAAATACTCAACTAAATCATATGTAAAGAATCAGATGAGGACCTGGGAGCTTGAAGAAAGAATCCTGAAACCATTGTGGGGAAGTTGTCAGGGAATCAGTGTGACTTGAATACAGGGGGAAAAAATCACCTTGTTGTTCCTTCACTGCCTTGTCTAGTTCTTTCTTTGTCTAAACATAATGATTTTTAAATGAGGTCCCCCTAACCAGTAGGATTAGAATCATCCAGAAATGTGTTAGACATGTGAATTATTTGGCCTTTTCCAGGATCTACTGAATTAGAAACTCTCAGGGTAGGGACCAGCAATCTGAGCTTTAACAAGCCCTCCATATGGTTCTGAAGGATCCTAAAATTAGAGACTCATTTGTCTAAAATACTGACTCTACTTTCTGACTGGATATTTTCCCACACCATAACTTTAGTTGTAAACATCTACAGAGTACGGGCTGCTTCCTTTGTCCTTTGTCTTCCTCTGCATCCCCAGTGCAGGGATCCTCATAGAGCTGAGCTGGCATTTGGTAAGCACATTCCCTCTGGACCACTAGTAAGCATCTCCTACAAGGTTGAGTGCACTGGGAGTTGGAAGTCCTTGTTTTCAACTAGAAAATGGAGAGCCCCAATCAAAGCACCACTCAGGAGTTCATCTTCTCCGCCTTCCCTTGTTCCTGGGGAAGCTCTGTCTCCTGTTTTGTTCCCCTGCTCTTCATTTACACTTTCATTGTCTTCGGCAACCTGGTCATCATCACAGTGGTCCAGCTGAATGCTCACCTCCACATGCCCATGTACTTCTTCATCAGCGCCCTTTCTTTCCTGGAAATCTGGTACACGACAGCAACCATCCCAAAGATGCTTGCCAGCCTGCTGAGTGAGAGGAAGAGCATTTCCCTAAATGGTTGTCTCCTGCAGATGTACTTCTTCCATTCCACTGGCATCAGTGAGGTTTGTCTGTTGACAGCAATGGCCTTTGACCGCTACCTGGCCATCTGCAGCCCTCTTCATTATCCCACTACCATGACCCCCAGGCTGTGTGCCCAACTGACTTTCAGTTGCTGTGTTTGTGGCTTTATCACGCCTCTCCCTGAGATTGCCTGGATCTCCACACTGCCATTTTGTGGCTCTAATCATCTTGAGCACATCTTCTGTGACTTCCTCCCCGTGCTACGCTTGGCCTGCACAGACACACAAGCCATCGTCATGATTCAGGTAGTGGATATTGTCCATGCGGTGGAGATTATTACAGCTACAATGCTCATTTTCATGTCCTATGTTGGTATTGTGGCTGTAATTCTACATATTAGGTCAGCTGAAGGCCGACGCAAGGCATTTTCCACGTGCATCTCCCACCTCACTGTTTTTTTGCTTTTTTTTGGCAATGTGGCCCTCATGTACCTACGCTTCTCTGCCACCTACTCCTTATTCTGGGATACAGTCATTGCTCTGGCCTTTGCAGTTTTGTCTCCCTTCTTCAACCCCATCATCTATAGCCTGAGGAATAAAGAGATAAAGGAAGCGATAAAAAAACACTGGGGTCAAGCTAAAACCTTTTTTTATAAGACCAAGGACCTCAAGTAAGATCTAATTATTGGAAGTCTACACAGGTGTTGGTGACTTTTCATTGTCAACTCCCTGTAATCTGCCTTTTCCCATCATCCTTTTACTCAAACTGGTCTTCCAGAGGTCACCAAGAAACAAAATTCGCTAATAGCTGAATTCAATAGTTTCTTTTACTCTTTATCCAACTTGACATATTGTTGGATCTGACTTTGTTAATTCAGCTTTCTGCCATTCAGTGTGGTCAATATAAATTCATTCTGTGGAAATGATCTGGGTCAACATTTAATTTTAATGTAGTCAAAGTATTTGTAAGATATAGTAATTGAAAATTCATCTTTAAGATTCTGTTCTCTCCTTGGTACTACCAATGGATATAGTTAAAAATAACACTATTCCTAAATTGAATGTTCATTGTTGATAAATAGCTGTATAGATGTATTTCAGCAGGTTCTCTTATGACTCACCTACTCTGTTTGCACCTTAGCAGTGCTATGCAACTGGAATTCCATGTCTGGGTCGGTAATGGGCCAAGGCCATCTTTGTGTGCTTGCAACCATCAGTAATGTGTGAAAAGAGTGGAGGCCACTGGGCTCAAGACCCAATCAACCTCATTAATTTGGTGACCATAAGAAACTAGGAGAATAGCTGAACTTCTGTAAAATTGACAGGGGAGGAAACCTAACAAAGTAGTTGGCTACAATTGTGAGGTGGTTAAAGACTATGGCAAAGAATCTTAGGCCAAGAAGATCATTGAATAATACTGCAATGCAAAAAACAAAATTTAAAACTTGGCCTTAAAAAAAAGTAAAGCAATATAACTTCATTAATGAATCAGTATTTTTTCCTAATTTTTTTAATAAATTAATTTTTATTGGTGTTCAATTTACCAACATACAGAATAACACCCAGTGCTCATCCCGTCAAGTGTCCCCCTCAGTGCCCGTCACCCATTCACCCCCACCCCCCGCCCTCCTCCCCCTCCACCACCCCTAGTTCATTTCCCAGAATTAGAAATCTTTATGTTCTGTCTCCCTTTCTGATATTTCCCACACATTTCTTCTCCCTTCCCTTATATTCCCTTTCACTATTATTCATATTCCCCAAATGAATGAGAACATACACTGTTTGTCCTTCTCCGATTGACTTACTTCACTCAGCATAATACCCTCCAGTTCCATCCACGTTGAAGCAAATGGTGGGTATTTGTCGTTTCTAATGGCTGAGTAATATTCCATTGTATACATAAACCACATTTCCTAATCAAAAAAAAAAACCTCCTCTTTGTTCTCAATGTAATTAAGCATATTGTGTGAATTAAGCAACAACATCAATAAATCCTCCTTGGATGAGTAAACCAATATGGCCATGCTGCGTTCTGAATGTTCCAGTCAGCTGGTCAACAGTATTGAATGATTCTACTCTTTTCGATCTCTTTTGAGGGTTAACTGTACTTTCCCAAGTACAATATTCTTAGAGAACTAATATGTATAAGTCTCCAGCAGGGGAAAGGGTTACATAGTTTTCTTGTCTGTTCTCTCCACTTTTTGTATTATTTAATCCTTGCCTAGATATTATCAGTGTCCCTAAAACTTGATATGGCTAAAACTATCTCTTGCTTCAAGTTGCTCTCCCAACTGAGGCTGAACTATTTCGCAAAACCTAGATCTGATCACTTTATTACTTTGCTTAAAAGCCTATGATTAAACCCACTCTACTCTAGATTGTCAATGAAATTTTAGTAGGTAACCTCTGTGTGTGTGTGTGTGTGTGTGTGTGTGTGTGTGTGTGTGTGTGTGTTAAACAAAGAAAATTCCAAGCTGAGGGAAAAACAAAAGCATAGGAAACAGAAAAAGAAAGCTCAGGGTGTGTTGACATTCATGCATTATTTCATAATAATGCCCTTCGTAAATTCACAGGATTAAGGAAATGTGTGGCTTCTGACTTGGTGAGCACAAGAGCAGCTAATTCATTCTTCTTAATTTTAGATATATTTCTTTTATCAACAACTTTGCTGCATTTATTAATCATAGTTTTCCTTCTAATAATAAAACATTTTTATGTTCACAGTGGCAATTATATTTATTGATAATAGCAAAAATACAATTTTCTACTTATTGGGCATGCACTATATAATAAGACATTGTAATAAATGTCTCCAGTATATATATATTACTTGATAACAATCCTTGATAGCAATAGGTATTATTATCATTCTTATTATATAAGTGAGAAAACTGTGACTTTTAAGGGTTAAATAGTTTGTCTAAAGACATATCTTTAGTAAGACGTTGTGCTGTGATTTGAACCACATTCTATTTTATTTCAAAAGCCTTGCTTTTCACCGCCATGCTATATTCAGAATATCATGTTGATATTCTTGAGAAAACAGAAGAGGACTCGCTTCTCAGCAGCTACACAGCATAGACCATCCCTGAGGTTCTTGTTAGTGCTGTTGAAATAGTTCATCTATTTTTCCAAGAAACTTTTAAAATGTGTCACTACATGCAGAGGAAAGTGGTAAGTGTTGGAATGATACTGGTACAAGGCACATTCTCTGATGCACAGAGGCTCACAATTTGGGACCAGAGTTTAAGAAATGAAAGAAGCTGAAATATTTCTTTTACTTTTCCTGATCTGGGAAGCAACCATTCTATTTGGTCCACATTTTAAAAAATCAGCTTGCATAAGATTAGTGAGGGTCTCCCATTCATGGTAGGATAGAATGAAATACTTTTATTAAAATATGGAGCTGACTTCACATATGTTCTCATTGTATGCATGATGGAGTTCAGCCATTTAACTTAGTACAAGATTATAAATACCTGTTTATATTCAGGAGGATATGATTAAGGTGGTGGAGAATTAAAAAAAACAGGATAATAATTCCCAGTAGTTTTGTATTATTAATTGTTGCTGAAAACCTAATGACTTTCATTCTCTTGAGACTAAATTTCTGTCTTTTTACCTCATATACCTTTAGACCAGTGCTTTTTCATTCTTGGAAAAATAGCTACAATAAAATCAAAGATGTTGTCTAAACTGATGAGTGAAAAGAAGTACATAGAATTGGGGAAGGTCATCAAGATGATGTGATGTTGGTTGACCCATGAGCTGGATCTGGGTAATGGGAGGTCCACACCCCCTCCCTGGTCCTTGGAACATGGGTTCTACTTGCCTTTTCCTCCTAAGAGGCTCCTTGTTCCAAGAACCCAGCCTTGACATAGTGATGTGCTGCTGAGAGCATCTGGCCAGTATACATGACTGAATCCCGTTAATGCCTCTAAATAAACTTTTAAGACTCTAGCGAGTGAGAGGATAAGCCCATCCCATGGTTGCCCAAGACAAACCTTGTATGTAAGTTCCCTTTGCTTATTAAACCTGCCACCTACCATCCTGGAGTGGCCTGCCTCTTTGGGGGGCTTTTAATTTGTTTCAGAAAAAGGGAAAAGATGATATAATGGAACCTTCGATGTAGACTTATCTTTCAGTGATTGATTTACAAATGTCCCGGTTCAAGTCACCTATATTTGCAATAACAAACTATTCTTCCAGTTTTTTAAAATCACTGTTTTCATGAGAAAATCAAATGTTACTGACATCACTTTGCTTGCAGTATATATATATATATATATATATATATATATATATATATATATATGCAGAGGAAAGTGGTAAATGCATATCTATATATATATACATATACACATTTATGCATTTTTAAAAGATTTTATTTATTTATGACAGACAGAGAGGGAGAGAGAGGCAGAGACACAGGCAGAGGGAGAAGCAGGCTCCATGCAGGGAGCCCAACATGGGACTTGATCCGGGGTCTCCAGGATCCGGCCCAGGGTGAAGGCTGTGCTAAACCACTGAGCCACCGGGGCTGCCCCTATGCATTTTGAATGAAGCCAACTGTAAGCACAGGAGCCATTAGCATATTCTCATTACATATGGAATGTGAAAAGTGGGCCCTCTGTTTTGTAAACCCCTCAAGAATAGGCATCTTGCTTTGTTCACCTCTATGTTCCCAATGCCTGTTAGAAACTCTTATCCATAGAAATGCTTGATAATGGTTCATTCAAAGAGTAAAGTTTTAGAATAGAGGCAGTCTATGTTTCTTGACAAATTACAATTGATAAAAAAAAATTAAGCTATAGAAAATACTCAGGCTATTGCTACATTCACCAGAGAATGACAGGGGAGGGGAGATAATGGGCAAAGGCAAGTTATCTGGTCTATTTGCAGTTGCACATGCAGCAATTTTTAATAGTGAAATGAAGCCATGCCACAGATAATCCACTAAAATTTCTATGACTGGCATATATTTAGATGTTAAATAGAACTTTCATTGATATCATGGGACTCCAGTCCCTTAAATATAAGAACTAAACTTCATAGTTTAATTAAGGCTGTGAAGGAGATAGTATGTTCAGTCCTGGCATTTGGCTCCTACTTTCTTTTATTTTAATGAGAAATAATATGTTTTAGTTGAGCTCTTTTTTCCCTGAGTGGGGCCATGGCACCAAACCTGCTATTTTTATAAGGTTTATAAGGACTTGGGTTTATTGCTGTACTCAAAGAAAATTATTAGTGGATGGGAACATCAAGCAATTTCATGTGAGATTTTTAAATGATGCATTGCAAATCATTCTTTAAAAGGTTCAAGCTTAGCTTTATGAGGAATTATCTCATAGCAGATCCCTGCCCTTTACATTCTGATTCTCAATATTAATGATTCAGTATAAAATGTATGACTTATAACTAAGATATAAAGTGAGTCACATAACAATTCTCTGAAAGAGGTAGGTTAGTCATTACCACCCCCATTATATACTTAACAAAATTAAAGCAAATTTCCAATGCTCATCTAGTTATTAAATGGAGGAATCAAGCGTTCAAATTAGATGGTTCAGTCTCAAATCCATTGTACTTACCATTATCCCCAGTTTTCCTCTCTCCTCGATCACATGGTCCATTGTATAAAGCAAATGTCTTGGGTCTTGTTTTTTCTATTCAGT